CCCGCCACAGGCTCTGGCGGGCGGGCTGCCGCCGGCGGCGGCGCCGGCCGGCGCAACACCGCGCCGCCAGGCGGCGGCGCGAGGAGCGCGCCGCTCGTAACGGCCTCCGCTGCCGCGGAAGCCGAGCGGGCGGCGGTGGAGCGGGCGCGGCGGCGGCTGGGGGACGCGGTCGCGGCTGCTGACGTGGACAGGCGGGACGTGCTGGGGGTGTCCCCTTGGCTTCCGGCGGCGGGCACTGCCGCTCTGGGCGCCGCCGGCGACGCGGCGAGCACCCTCGTGACGGCGCTGAGCGGCAGCGCCGGCCCGCGCCGCGCGGCGTGCGGCGGCGGCGGCGCCGGCTGGGGCGGCGGCGAGGCGCGACGGGCGGGCGGCGCGGGGTCGCTGACAACGGGCAGCGCGTTCGACACTCTGGCCCACCTCGCTGCAGACGCGCGCCCGACGCAGCCGCTGCCGCCACCCCCGCCGCTCTCCGGCCGCCTCGGGCCCCGCCTCGCGTCTGCAGCCAGGACGCTCTCCGTGGCGCGCACCGGCACGGCACTAACCTCGGACCTCGAGTTCGATCTGAGCGCCTTGGACTACAGCGACCCCGCGTACGAGGTCCTCGCGGGCCAGGGCACGCGCGACCCCTCGGGCTCCGCCGCCGCGGTCGCCGGCGCGCTGCGCCCCGCCCGCAGCGCCCCGCACGCGCTCGACTTTGCAGGCACAACGGCCGCGGCGGCGGAGGGCGGCGCCGGCGGCGGCGCGCCGGGCGCAGCGTCAAGCGCGCTGGACGGCGGCCAGAGGTTCGTGCTGAGGGCTGAGGCGCGCCACCTCAGCCTGCCGCCCCCCGAGTATGCCGAACAGGGCGCCAGGGCCGGCGCGACTGCGGTGCACGCGCCGCTGATGCCTGGGGCGCCTGCGTGAGCACGAGACCGAGGCAGCCGCAACGAGAAAAGGCGACGCAGCCACCGCTGCTTTCTATTGCATGCAACTTTGTCTGTTGGGACCTGAGCCTTGCTGTTCACGTGCTTTTGTCGGCCACCTTGTTTTCGTCCACTCATACGTATCTACTTGAATGCGGCAGGGGCTGGCTGCCCCTGGCTTGCCGTGTCAAATTTGGGGGTCCTGAATGATTGCAGCACACCTTTTCCAGTGCAGGGTTCACCTCGACTTCTCACCAGCGACCCGCGGTGTTGCCATTTGCAGCATGTGGCGGAGACGAGCTCTATTGAAGGGCATTCACTGCTTGGGGGCCGCGCGCAGCGCCGGGCCCGCGCCCCCTGCCCGATCCAGCAGCCCCGCCAAGCGGGCCGCAGCGCTTTTTCAAAGGACCATTATCACGTTGCTGTTACTTGAAAGACAAGAAAGTGCGCATCAAGTGGCAACGGATCATAACACCTTTGCTGTTATTGATGATACTTCACCAGCCAGTCTCGCGGCCACAGGGCCCCGCCTGCGCCAGTACGCGGCTCGTGCCCACCGCCGCACGGACAGGGCAGGGTCGCAGGCCAGCCAGGCAAAGCGGAGCGGAGAACAGACGCGCGTCGAGGCCGCAGCGACCCACGAGGTTGCGGTGATCGACGAAAGTGTGCAGGCGGCTTGTCGCCGCGCGCCGGTCAGGCCCGTGACATGGGGCCGGCGCCGCGTGCGACGAGCGCAGGGACAATCTGAGCAGGGACCCCAGAGTGGCGCGGCGCCAATGCCTCTTGGCGGCGTGTTGATGTGCAACGAATGACGGGGTTGAGGCCGGGGCAAAGGCTTAAGGAGCAAAAGTAACCAGGGCAGCGGGCGGCACCCAGCTCAGAAATGGCCAGGGCTAGATCGACACCTGAAGCAGCATGCCAAGCATTGGAAGCCTGCTGAGAAGCAAATGCTTTGGTCGAGATGCCAGACTTTTGCATTGTGGTGCGTGAAGCCCGCCGAAGCGCCATCCTCCGGCAGGCTGCCCAGCGTCGCTGGCGGCCGGCGTGCGCATGCAAAAAAAGCGTCAGACAGCGCTGTGTGCAGGGGCGAGGTGACGGCGCGCGCGAGCAGCTGCACGCGCGTCACAGGAAGCTTCCTTTTTGGCAAAGGCTAACGATGCCGAATGCAGTACGCAGCAGATAAGCGAGCTGTCAGGCTTCACAAGACGGAACGGCAGCGAGGGGCTGGGCGTGGCAGCAGCCAGCATAGCGTGCAAAGCACGAGCATGGCCAGTCTGCAGGCTCTTGAAACGCGGGCGGCCCGTCCTGCAGCCTCCGCTGGTGACATCAGCGGCGCCGCCGTTCTGCCTGAGAATGCGCAACAAGTGAATTGTCCATAGACTCAACATGCGCAACATTGAGACCATTGGATCAATCATCAAGATCATGCCAGACTATTGGAATGACGTGCCAGTGATGAGCGATTCGCGTCGCTGTGCGTCGCCCTCCGCTCGGCCAGAGTCAAGCTGGCCGAGCGAAGGGTGCCACCACAGACACCCCTCCCAGCTGCTGCAGCGCGCTCGGCGGCCCGGTGCAGCCCTACGCTGGCGTCCGCGGGTGGGGCAGCTCCGGGCTGCGCCGGCAGGGGACGAGGCGCACACTCGGCATCCCTGTGGCCCCGTGACGCACGCCGACAAGAACGCAGGACGGTCCCGCGCCGCCGGACGCTGCATGAAAATGCGCCCGACGCGCCGCGCGCCGCGGCAAGGCGCCGCCGCCGTTGCCGTGGTGGCCGCTTTACACTGCCGCCCTTTTGTTGGGATCCTACTGCTTTGTGTAGAGGTATGTGTTGGGGTGGTCAATATCGAGGAAGACATAGGTCGAGTCCAGAGCCACCTTGACGCACGGCTGCCTAAGGTTGGTTGGTCGGTCGGTTGGTTGGGTGGTTGGTTGGGTCGTTTGATTGGTGCTGGTCAGGGGGTGGGTGGGCGGGCGCAGTCGACAAGGTCGGGGCTGTCGCCGGCCTGCTGAGGGGCGGAGTTCGTCTGTCGTATGCATGGGTTTGCCGCCAACCCTCATAACGGGGGGAGAATGCAGCCCTACTCACCTGCCGAGAGCCTCGTTGTCTTTGGGGGAGTTGGTGCAGGTGGGCTGGCCGCCATACACGTACACCCGCTGGTCGACGTGGGCCGCGTCAAAGCGGAAGCGCGCCTCGGGCAGCGGCGCCTTGCGGGTCCAGACGTCGTCCCCAAAGTCGTACAGCTGCAGGGGTTGTGGTGCGGCCCAGGGTGTAACGGCGGGTGGTTCGGAGTTTCGCACGGCGAACCCACGGCGGCCTGAAACGGCACGAGCAGGCGTTTGCAGAGGGCGCCGCTGCTCCGGTCCGGTGCTGAGGAGTGAGGTTTTAGAGTCTGGGGTTGGAAGTTCAACCGTTCAGATGAAGGGTTTCGACCCGAGGTTCAGGGTGTCAGAAAACGTTGACTAGGCTCACGTCGACGTGGTGCATGGCGTGCTCGTTGGAGCCCTGCTTGCCGGGCAGCCCCGATTCGCCGCCCAGCACCAGCACGCGGCCGCCCGGCAGCAGCTCCGCAGCAAAGTCCCCTGGCGCAGCGGCGGGGAAGAGGGGGGCGACGAGGGTAAGCTGTGTTTGAGAGGACGAATCGGATAAGGGTGGGGCAAGATGTGTCGGGAAGGAGTAAGGAGCGTGTCATTTGTGGCCAGTGCGGGGGTGGGCACAGGGGCAACTCCACGGTTGGGGGCCCGCCGCCCGGCCCCGGCCCAAGGTGCTGCGCTCCAGGACCCTGCGACCGCGCGGGCGCGACGGGACGTCGAAGGGACGCGCACCCCTCGGGCGCGGCATGTCCGCGCGGCGGCTCCAGGCGCCCTTGGACGGGTGGTAGCACTCCGACACGTTGCTGAAGTCCTCGGGCCCCCAGCCGCCGACGACAAACACGCAGTCGTCGAGGGCGGCGCACTCGCAGTCGCCGCGCTTGATCATGCCGTCGGGCAGGGGGGACCAGGCGCCGGTCTTGAGGTCGAGGACCTCTCCGCCCAACTGGGCTGCGGCGGAAGACGGGGGGGCCCGTTGCAAACGGACGCGTCGCAGCAGGTGGGATCGAAGGCCATACAGCAAACAGGGCGCAGTGGGGGAGGGTGTTTTGAAAGTGAAGAAGGCACAGTGAGCGGAGCACGGGAGATGAGGTTTGGTGAAATCAGGTTGCAGCAGAGACGAAGGTGGACCCCAGATGCGCTTGGTGGGGGAGGGGGAGGGCTGGGGTCGCGCGCGCTTGCGTGTCGGCGGGTTCACGAGCTCACGCCCCTTGCGCGCGCCTGGACGGCCCTTGCACTCAAACGTTGTGGTGAGCCGCCCCCTCCACAACACCACCGCTGCGACCGCGCCGGCCGTCCCCTGACCACCGCCACCGCAACTGCCTTTTTCATCTCACAATCCCAACCGCCTACATCCCACCACCACACCAATCGCCAATAGGTAAAACACCCCGGCCGGCGACATCATGCAACCGAACGCACCCACCTGAGTAGTTGGCCGCCCAGCCACCCATCAGGTAGATTTTCCCGTCAATCGCGGTGGCGCACGCGTCTGTGCGCGGCGTCGTGAGCCGGCCTGCGGTGGGGACAGCACAGAGGGCGGGTGGGGGCAAAGTGCGCGAATGCGCGCGGGGCGCATGGCGACAGCTCGGCGGGCGCGGCCGGCTCTGCGCCGCGGGCTCGTAGGCGCCCGCGTGCGGCCGCGGCTTGTGGGTCGCACAACGGCCCCCAGAGCAGAAGGCCGCGGGGCCGCATTGACGGCGTCCCAAGCGGCCCTGGGCCCCGTGACAGCGCCCAGCTGACGTCAGCACCGACTCTGCTGCAGGGCGATGCCGCAGACGTCACAGAACTCAAACCGTTGCACGCATATGCATGCACGTATCCATGATTCTGGCAGCATGCCCCGTGGATAGGCGCGGATCCCACCTGGCAGCGTGCTCCAGGTGCCTTTGGTGACGTCATACACAAGGACAGTCCCAGCGGGGTCGTGCTTGTCGGGGTCGCTCACTGCAATCGGTGGACGGTTTGTTGCAGCGGCGCAAATTTGCAGACCAGTCGGCGCTTTGCTCGCTGGCCCGCTCGCTCGGAAGGTCTATGCCCGCAAGAGCGCGCGGGCGGCGGCGCCGCGGGGCCGGCTGAGCGTCGTGTGCGACAGCAGGGCGGGGGGGGACGTTGCGGTGGGCGCGGGGACCCCAAGCGGCGCGCCCCCGGGCGCCTGCGCGGCCCACCATCAGTGAGGCCGCCCATGATGTAGATGTTGTTGCCATAGACGGCCGCCGCGTGGCGCGTCCTGCCAGCATGGAGCAATTGCACAAACAAGCCACTAATCAGGCCGCAAAAGCTGTGTGGAAACAAGCGCCGACGGCCCCGCCCGTACGCAGGGCGATGATCCGGGCTGATCGTCCGCGCTGCCATGCCCCGGCAGCGCTGCGCACGCGCCCATACCAGCGTGGCACTCGGCGCTGGGGCCGGACGGTTCACGGTGGGGTGGGTGAGAGTGTTGGGCTTGCGATTGCGAGACAAAACGGTCTGCGCCCTCACCTGGGCTCGGGCATGGGGGCGAGCTCCCTTGCGGCGCCGGTGTACGTGTCATAGCTGCGGGGCGCGGAGGGGCGCGGCGGGCGGCGAGAGGGGCGGCGGTGGTGTCAGGGGGGCCGGGATGAGGAGGTGTGCGATCGGGTCTGGTGAAGCCATGGCAGCCATAGATTCCAGTGCAAGGAAAGCTGCAGGCGGGTGTGTTGTATGGGGGAGAGGGGGCTGTCTCGCCGCACGTGGAGGGTGCCGTCTGCACCGGCGCACAGGAGCCTTGCGCGCCCTCGAATGCGGGCGGTGGCCGGCGCCGGCCGGCACGCCGCGGCGGCTGCCGCCCTTCCCTCCCCTTGCTCACCGCACGAGGTTCGGGATGGCGCGGCCTGTTGGCTTGGCCACGGTGCTGTTGGCGTCCCCGGGAATGGGGGCCGCCTCATTTGTGAGGCCGCCGGTGAGGTAGATGTCATTGCCGACGGGAGAGGCCTGTGATGGCCGGCGGGATTACGTGATGGCAGGCTAAAACTGCTGCTGCTGCGCTCGGGCATCGCTGCGCTCCGCCGGAATGGCGGGGGCCAGCCGCTTCAGCCGCGCGGCCACGGGACGCGCGCGGCCGCAGGGGCCTGCGGCGCGTGCAAACATGCGGCATGGGCGGCCGTGGCGCGCGCGCATGCGCCGGGGCGGTGTGCGCTGTGTTGAGCCGCCGCAGGCGGCTGCATGGGATGGAGATGCAGACAAGCCGTGGCCATGCCGCGTGCCGTCATGCAGCCATGCAGCCATGCGGCCCAAAAATTACCCGGAAATCCGAGCGGGAGTACTTCATAGGCCGCATGGGGGCGAAGTAGCCGCTGCCCGCAAAGAGGCCGCCGTCAAAAGCTGCGCCCGCGGGTCCGCGGCGGGGGTCGGTCGAGAGCACCGCGCCCGTGCCGCCGCCGCTGTTCGCCGCAGTCAAGCCCTGCGGGTCGGGCACGTGGCGACCGTGAGCGTGGGGACAACGGGGATGCGGGGTGCGCCGGCAGGCTAAGCACGTTGCACCCCCGCGGCGCGCTGAGTGTGTTGCGGCTGTGACGTTTGCGCATTCCAAAACCACAGGGCGGCGGCTCCAAAGGTCCCTGGTGCGCTGAGGCGCCATGTGCGCACCTTGCGCGCCACCGTGGCGGCGTAGATGGCGAAGATGAGGGAGATCAGGCCGAGAGCAAAGCCCAGCGAGCCCAGGATGATCGCTGGGTTGCAGCGGCGGCGGCGGCGCGCCCCGCCAGCGGTGACGCCAGCACCGTCAGTGAGGCCCGCGGCGTCGCTGGCCTTCTTATCGGCGAGCTCCATGTCGACATAGCGCTCTTGCGGTGATGTACAGCACGCGGCCATCGTTGTGGCGGCGAAAGGGTGATCTGTGCTTCAATTGTTTATTATTCTCCCAAATGACTGACTGTCCAGTCGCAGGGGCCAGATGGGCTGGCCGAGATCACTGGCTGACCTTGAAACGACTGGGTGACGACGTAGTGACGCCCCCGCTCAGGGAGAGTTGCTGCTGTGCCCTGAGAGTTGCTGCTGTGCCCTGCAAGGCGGGAGGAGAATGGGGCTTGACGCAAGCCACCTCCGACGTCTCTACACTTGGTCAATCTTGCCTAGTTGTGCTCCACCTGTCATGTGTGCTCGCCGCTCTGACGACTCTGATTTGCGCTAGTCCACCCCAGTTCGACGATGCTGCTGGTGCGAGTATCAAATGCACCAACCCGGAAGGCCGGACTAATGAAGCAACAACACGATGTCTCATGGCATTGCACACGCTTGCCGGCACGTGTGCATGCAAGATGGTGTCTGTGTGCCTAGAGTTCCTGTTTCATGGTTGGCTGAAAGCGCCCTGCGCATTGATCCCCAGCGCGCTGCTCGTCTGCCTGGCAGCTGCTTGCCCACCATGATGTACAACATATGGGACAGTGGGTCCGATGCGCCATGTTCGCAACTTCATTCGATGTACCCCCTCTGGGGGTGGTGGACTGCAGATTCACAATGCCTGGGCGCGCTGAGCAGAGTTGGGGGAATCGAGAAGCTGTACTACCTTGAAAATCAGATATTCTGACAAGTCTGCACTGCCAATCGGTGTGCTGTGCTGTCGTTACCATGCAGTCCAGGGTGCGGTCCATGATGTTGCTGGTCAGCGCAAGGTGACAGCTGCACAACCCACCACTTGGGCCCGCCACAGCCGCCCATTGGCCCATGCCTAATTTCCATGATCATTTGTGTATCATTCATCATCGTATTCGTGGTCAATTGCTTCATAGGTTCGGCGAGCTGGGCACTGCTAACTCCTTGATCTGTGTGGGCGCCCTAGAAGCGCATGCAACAACTGAAACTCGTTGTTACGAAGACTGCTAGCGTTATGCTGCGATCGTCGATGTGCCCTGGCACCAGCCAGGCGCGCTCAATGTGCAAGCGTGTGACGCAGCCGGCCTTTGCCGCTGCCAGGGTCCCATCAAGGAGCTGCAGCATGCTCATGAGCATGTACAAGCATCAGCTGCCGCGCTGCAGCGCGGCCGCCGCGGCGGCCGGTGCCGCGGCCGCACCGCCGCAGGCAGAGGCTGACGCCTCGGGGCTCTCGACGCTCGTCGATGCCCAGATGACGTGGCCTGCGCGCACCCACGGCGCCGGCACGCTGCGCGAGGCGGACGCAGGCAAGGAGATCACGGTGTGCGGCTGGGTGGACCGAAACCGCAATATGGGCGGCCTGTGCTTCCTTGATGTGCGAGACCACACTGGTCTGCTGCAGGTGAGAGCAGTGCGCACGTATGAGTGCCTACATACATGTATGAACACGTGCGTACATGTATGTTTGGCTGCATGTGTGGGTACAGTGCGATTTGCGACGTGTACACATTTGCGATGTGTACACGCTTCCGGCACTGAGCTTGCACCGTGGCGCGGAGGCCGCTCGCGGAGGTTGGGGCTCTCATCGCCGCGTCGGCGTCAGCGGTGGCGCCTGCGCGGGAGCGACGCGGCGTGCGGCCCGCACCTGCGCAGCCCGGCCCCTGCCCCCGCGCGCACGGCCGCGCAGCATCGCCGACAGCCAACCCTTGAGCATCCCCCTAAGCAGCCCCTGGACGCCCCCACCCAAAGACCCCATGGCAGCCCTTGCGTCCCGCTTCACTGCCGCCCGGCCGCCCCCACCCCACACCAGGTGGTGGGAGAGCCTCAGACCCACCCTGAGGCCAGCCGCGCCGCCGCGCGCCTGCGCTCTGAGTACGTGGTGGCAGTTACCGGGCAGCTGCGGGTGCGCAAGGATCCGAACCCGAAGCTGCCGACGGGCGGTGTGGAGCTGCTGGCCACGAGCATGAGGTGTGGACCGGCAGCCGCTTTGGAGACCTGGGTTTGTACAACTCCCCAAATCAGAATACAGGGTCAAGGGTGTAGGATTTTTCGGTCACTTTCATGAACGAGCGAAGGAAGGGCATTAAGGCCTTGATGCCGTGTTTCCAGCAGTGGCCGCCTCCTGCCTGCCATCCGCCGGCGTTTTTGGATTCTGCTTTGCTGGACGTGCCTGCCGACCAGCAGCGGCGCGGGGCTGAGGGGCGGGCCTTCCCCCATACCCCTGGGTGCACATGCCCCTCACGTTGCTGCAAGACCCCTTCTTTGACTGCAGCGGCCCACATGACCGCCTCCCCCTTATCCCGCCCCCACCTGGCCTTCGCCCCCAATTCGCAGCGTGCTCAACGGCGTCGGCCGCCTGCTGCCATTCCCTGTAAGCGAGGCCGAGGAGGGGGAGGCGCCCCGCGAAGAGCTGCGCCTCAAGAACCGCGTGCTGGACCTGAGGTGACTAAATTAAGCACTCAAACTTGGGCTGCTTCGAGGGCGGGGCGAAAGTGTGTTCGTTGGTGGCTGCGTGGCTGGCGCCGCGTGCTGGACCTGACGCGACGCGCCTGGCTGCTGCAAGGGTTAGGCTTCTGGCTGCTCGAACCACGGATATCAGTGGGCGGGGTGCCGAGGGCCGCCGCGGGGTGCCGGCGTGCCGAGGTCGGCGGCGCCTCCCTCGTGCATCGAGGCGGCTGCCTGGCTCGATGCGCCGGAGCGGGCCTTGCCTCAAACTCTGGACCCTGCAGCAGCTCGAACGGCAGCGCCACAGCGCCCCTCAACGCACGGACACCCTTCCCTGGGTCTCCTTCTATGGGGGTTCCTACCCAGCTCTAAACCCTGAGTCCTAACCCCTGAACCCTGAACCCCGCCAGGCGACCCCAGATGAACACCAACCTGCGGCTGCGCCACCGCCTGGTGCGCACCATCCGGCGCTTCCTGGAGGACGGGCACGACTTTGTCGAGGTGGAGACGCCGCTGCTCACGCGCAGCACGCCGGAGGGGGCGCGCGACTACATAGTGCCGTCGAGGTGCGAGGTCCGGCGGCGGCAGTGCGAGGTTGCGAGGATGTGATCTGAGGGGAAGAAATCAATTTGGCACCCGACAAACCCCGCGGCAACTGGATTTTATCTAGTGATTTGTATGCTTCGTGGCGGGTGATGTCGTACGCGGGCGAGAGCCTTGCGCCAAGGACCCTCAAGCGGTGGCCACCCCTGGGCGCGGGGCGCTGCCGGACTTGATTTGTGCCGTCCTCCCTCCCGGGGCGCTGCGCAGGCTGGGCGCCGGCGATTGGTATGCGCTGCCGCAGAGCCCGCAGCTGTTCAAGCAGATGCTTATGGTCGCGGGGTACGACAGGTACTACCAGGTAAGGCTATTTGGGGGGAGGGCGGATGGGTGTGTTTGCGTTTGTTTGTGTGAGTTTGTGTGTGGATGTACATGTGAGTGTGTCGTTGGTGTGTGTGTGTGTGTGTGTTGTGTGTGTGTGTGTGTGTGTGTGTGCGCGCGCGTGGCTTTTGAGGGTCGGGTGGAGGAGGGGCCCAGGGGTGCCTCCACTGCACACTCAGCACGTGGGTGGGCAGCCAGTAAAACAGTGCTTGACAGTGAGGGGTCACGCGCGGGTTTCCCAGGTGCAGGGCGATGGGTTATGGCGATGACTTGCAGGTTCACGAAATGAGGGTGTCGCGATGCATGTGCGTGTGTGAACGTGGCGGAGGGTGCGTCGAAGCGCCCTGTGCACATTCTTGCCATCCATGCGGGGCGGATCGCTGACCCCGCACTTTGCCCTCACGCCCGCGTGCCGTGATCGATCCGTGAAAGCAATCCGATCTGATCTCGTGTCGCCCAGATCGCGCGGTGCTTCCGCGACGAGGATTTGCGCGCCGACCGGCAGCCTGAGTTCACCCAGCTGGACATGGAGATGGCCTGGATGGATCGGGACGCAATCATGGGGCTCATGGAGGAGCTGATCGCCACCATCTTCAGGTGGCCGCCCGGCTTCCTTGGGTTTGATGCGATTGTGGCAGCATTCACGTATGCACTGGTTTTTTATACAATTGTTTATATATCTATCCACAACCCCCCCCACTGCCACCGCGTGCACACGCGCGCACGCGCGCGCGCGCACACACACACACACACACAAACACACACACACACACACACACACACACACACACACACACACACACACACCACGCCCCACCCCACCACACCCCACCCCCCAAAAGGGAAATCAAGGGCGTCGACCTGCCCCGGCCCTTCACGCGCCTCACCTACGCCGACGCCATGGCATGCTTCGGCAGCGACAAACCAGACACGCGCTTCGGCCTCGAATTCAAAGACGTCTCGTCTGCAGTGGCCGGCTGCGGGTTCAGGTGGGCCGCCAGGGGCCCTAGGGATTAGGGCTTATGGTTTAGGGTTCCGAGTTTCGGCCCCGGGCTCGCCTCTGGCGCCCTCCGCCGGCCCATCTTCGCTAGGCCCTGCCTTGCTGCCGGGCCGGCTGCATTCACTCGAACCAGCCTGTCACCTGCCGGGGCGGCCGGACCGTACCCATCGCCCCGGCCACAGCGGCGCCGCGCCGCTGTGAGCCGTGCCCCGGCTCGCGGCGGCGCTTGCCGCTCGGGCTGCTTGGGAGCACACCAGGCAAGGCACACACACGCTGATTGTGGCCACCGAGCCGACCGCCTTGTCATCATGCCTCGTCAGCATGCGTTGTCACCATGCAAATCGACCCCTCTGCAGGGTCTTTGCGTCTGCTGTCGCCGACGGCGGCGCCGTCAAGGCGATCGTGGTGCCCGACGGCAAGCGCATCAGCAACAGCCGCGTCAAGCCCAAGGGCGACATCTCAAACGAAGCGGTCGCAGCGGGTGGGTGCCGCGGCGCCACGGCGCGAAGCTTTTTGGG